CCTAGGTTTTGCTGAATGGGTAGAGCCTGTTGGTGGGGTCTTACTTCCTGTGGAAGGAAGTGTCGATGGGGGAGGATATGCCTTTGCATGTCTTCCAGACCCTCACCCAGCCCAGAGTCTTCGGCAAAGATGAGTCAAAGGGGTGGTACGACATTACTCCCGAGGGGTGATTGAACCTGTCGAGGCTTGTGAAGATGTGGCTGAACTGTGAAGAAGCGAATGAGGAATTCGAGGCTGTGAATTGGATCGAACCTACCTAGCCTTGCGAAGATGTGGCTGAACTGCGAAGAAGTAGATGAGGAAGCCGAGGCGATGAATTGGATTGAACCTATCGAGGCTTGCGAAGATGTGGCTGAACTGCGTAGAAGCAGACAAGGAAGCCGAGGTGGTGAATTGGATCGAACCTGTCGAGGCTTGCGAAGATGTGGCCGAATTGCGTAGAAGCAGACGAGGAAGCCGAGGCGGTGAAGTGGATCAAACCTACCGAGGCTTGTGAAGAGATGATTGTCTTCGATGTTTGTGCCAATGATTTGATGTTTTATGCATGTTACCAAGAAAAGGCAGTCGAACCGTTTTGACTTCCAAGGTACGTACAATTGCTTCATTGAATGTGCAATGATGGCTACAACTGGGGCTCCTAGAAGGAGACGCGTTTGGAGAGGTGCGTGGGGAGCACGTTTGGGTCGGAGGCGTTGATTTTGAAAACAGTTCGTATTCTACGCCTCGGATTCGATCTGCAATGAAGGGCCCAGATTTGATGAGCCTTGATATGATGGCTGGTGTTCGACCAGAACTTGTATAAAAAGCAGGAGACTCCCATTTTGTGACCTTTCTATCTCTGCAATTCTGTGTTTGTTGAAAATATCATATTCCGGCGTTGAAGCTTTGCTCCGTTCCCATTTTTTAGACATCCTTCAGTTTCCTTAGTCGATTGCGTAGGTATTTCTTGCAAGAATAACTTATTTTGCGAGATCTTTGTCCATTTTCAAACTTATTCTGATATGGAGTCCATTTCGGGTAAGGGGTAGTTACTGTCGCATCGATTGGGGAGGGGTCAGTTCATAGGGAGACTCCGAGGTCGAACATTATGCTATGATTGAAGAGCCCATAAAATATGAGGAAGAGTGGGGTTTGTCTAGGATACCCTCAAATATGACCCGGAAGAGGTTGGCGAGATAAGGGAGAGGTACTACGTGCCTCATTACATAGAAATGTTAGTCCTCGAGGCTGATGAACGGGCTTGTTATCCAAGGCCCTAGTGTGTCACAGTCAGTGAATACTTGTTTAAGACGGGTATGCGTCTTCCTCTGCACCCCTTCTTTAGAGCAGTGCTAAGGAATTTTATGTTGTTGCCGACCTAGGTTCTGCTGAATGGGTAGAGCCTGTTGGTGGGGTCCTACTTCCTGTAGAAGGAAGTGTTGATGGGGGAGGATATGCCTTTGCATGTCTTCCAGATCCTCATCCAGCCTAGAGTCTTGGGCAAAGATGAGTCGAAGGGGTGGTACTACATTACTCCCTAGGGGTCGTATGTCCCTTTGTAGTAAGATTGCCTTCTTCCATTAAGGGTGGAAGGACTTGAGGTTTTGGGTTCGGGGCAACTGGCAGGCAATAGTTGGGGACAAAGCCTTGGCTTACACGGTATCGATCCAATACTACGAAGCTCGTGAGTCCCCCAGCCTAAGCTGTACTTTATATTCTACTGAGCTTTCTGGAATTTTTTTTTTTTTGCTAACTGTTGTCACATGTGTTGTACACTCAAGTACAAGGTACCAGCTCTACAAAGAGGAGTTTGACGTCATAGAGGACATTTACAAGCATCCTTTGAAGCTTTGCCACTTCGATCATCTCATTAACCGAAGTCGTTATTTCCTTGACTTCTGACTTATGGCTTCCAAGGGTAAGAAGTACCTGTACTTTGTGATGGAAAAGTTTGCTTATTGATGTTAACCTTTGATCCGTTCCTTTGTGTTGCAGAAAAGGTCGGGAAGAGGGAGTACCCCGTCCCCAACATGCCCACCATAATGAAGGCCACGACTACTATTGGAGCTCGGCCTCTGAAACCCGGTTCAAGTGGGTCAAAAGAGGTGAGAGGCAAGGTGGAGCACCTCTCCAAAATCAATACCTGGGGGCTGCCAAGGAGGAGGCTCCAACGAAGGAGAAAGACAGAGAGCCTCGAGGAAAAGAGAAAGTCCCTGAGGACTCCCAGAAGAAGAGGAAGCTGGTTTCGAGAAAGTTTAGGACTTCCATTTCCCAAATCAGCAAGGACTCCTGACCAGCAAAGCTCATGGACTCTGCCGTGAAGGCAGTGAAGGTGGAGATGGTTCGAAAAACCAAGGTGGAGGAGGCGACGGAAGAGGCAGCGAGGTTGGCTGAATTAAAGGTAAAAGCCCGTAAGGACCCATGGAAAATTCCCTAATTTCCTGGCTGGGCGTGAAGAAGAGCTTGCCCTTGCTTTTTTGGAGGCTCTTTCTGAAGAGGTCCGAGGTGCTGCAGCCAGTTTTTGTAAATTTTGGACTAATAGATGTGTGTTGCACGCCTCGTCCTGTGACGTTGTTGACCTCTCAAGGGCTAATAAGCCAAAGCGCGAGGACATTTGACCTCGCATTGAGTGTAGGGAGGTTCTCACTGACTTCCAAGCAAGGACCATGTCCTCAGAAAAGAAGCTGACCTCTGTTGAGGAGGAGTTGAAGAGGCTGAGGGTCGAGGCAGAGGAGACTAAGGCCTAAAAAGTTGAAGACGCTACCAAATTGGAATTTACCTTGACCCAAATAGAGGCCATGAAGAATGAGGCATATGAGTCTCAGTGTTCGGTAGCCTCCCTCACTAAAAAGGTGGAGATGTCAAATAATCATCAAAAGATCACTGCTAAGGCCCTGGAAAAGCAAACCTTGAGCTTGCTCGGACCAAGGAAGCATATATTTTCCTGAATGACCAAATAAAATGACATGTTGATGAACTGGCCAAGATGAGAGAGGCAGCTAAGGTAGCGGGAGAGGAGGCAGTTAAAGAGTTTATTACCAATTTCCACAACATCGAGGACCGGAGCTTCAACGCATACTGGTGGAATTTCAGCTATGCTGAGGTGATGGAGAGGGTTGAGGAACTTTACTCAGGCTATGACCTCTCTCAACTTAGGTATGAGTTTGTGGATGACATACCTCAAACCCCAACTGAGGAAACAGTAGAAGAAGAAGCAGCTGAAAGGACTGGAGAGGGGCTAGACGCTCAAACTGCTAAAGCTCCTGCTGCAGAGGTGCTCCCTCCATCATTCGAAGCTTAGTGTAAGATTCCTTTTCACTTTCTATCAATGTACTGGCCTTGAGCCCACTTCTTGTAATGTACTCAACATTAATGAATGCCATGTTTTGCCAAGTTTTGCTTTCTTTTCAATATCAAGTGTATGCACCTCGGAAAATAATCAAGCACAAGTTTGAGTTAGCAATCTGAACTTGACGTGTCGCTTCAGGGTAAGCTAACAATCAAGCCATATAAATGATGACTTAATGGGTTGCACTTAGTCTCCATCACTTTGAGATAAACCATGATGTCCAAATTGCACTTAGGTTATTTGTCTAAATCTTTCCATTGAGTTTGAATTGAGGTAAAGTGATGGTGGATGAGCTATGTATGTCGAGGCATATGAAGTGAGCCTCGAAGTTTAGGCGAGGTGACCCCAGAGTTGGGGATCTGGGTCTCTCTTTCGAGGCTCCCACACTTCCCTACGTGGTGGATGGTGTGACCATGTAGAGGCTTCTCTCGTTGGCATTCAGCCTCACCCAAGGAAGGTATGTGGAGTGAACCTCGGAGTTTATGCGAAGTGACGCCAGAGTTGGGGGCTTGGACCTCTCCTCCAAGGCTTCCACGCTTCCCTACATGGTGGATGGTGCAGCCATGTAGAGGCTTCTCCCATTGGCGTTCAGCCTCGTCAAAGGAAGGCATATGGAGTGAGACTCAGAGTTTATGCGAGGTGACCCCAGAGTTGGGAGTCTGGACCTCTCCTCCAAGGCTCTCACGCTTTCCTACATGATGGATGGTGCAGCCATGTAGAGGCTTCTCCCATTAGCGTTCAACCTCGCCAAAGGAAGGCATGTGGAGTGAGCCTCGGAGTCCAGGCGAGGTGACCCCAGAGTTGGGGGTCTCTGAGGCTCTCATGCTTCCCTACATAGTGGATGGTGCAGCCATTTAGAGGTTTCTCCCATTGGCATTCAGCCTTGCCAAAGGAAGGCATGTGGAGTGAGCCTCGGAGTCCAGGCCAGGTGACCCCAGAGTTGGGGGGTCTGGACCTCTCCTCCGAGGCTCTCACACTTTCCTACATGGTGGATGGTGCAGCCATGTAGAGGATTCTTCCATTGGCATTCAACCTTGCCAAAGGAAGGCATGTGGAGTGAACCTCGGAGTCCAGGTGAGGTGACCCTAGAGGTGGGGATCTGGACCTCTTCTCCGAGGCTCCCACGCTTCGAGAGTCGTATATGAATTTAATGACATTTTATTGAAGCTGAAATAGTTGCATAAGCTGGGAAAGATCCTCCAGGGATGTAGTACAATTATTGGTAGTAAATTCTGTGATGCTCAATGGTCCATGGACGAGGTTGTGCCTTGCCCTTCATGTCTTCGATTCTGTAGGTGCCGAGTCAGAGTTATTATTTAACTCTGTAAGGGTCTTCCCAGTTTGGACCCACGGTACCTTCTCCAAGTCCTTTGGAGGAGAGGAAGACTCTCCTAAGGGCCAGGTCATTGATTCGGAAGGACCTTTTCTTCACCTTAGAGTTGAAGTATTTGATCATTTTCCTTTAGTAAGCGGCGAGCCTCAGTTGGGAGTCATCTTTTTTTTCAACAATGAAGTCAAGGTTGAACCTCTATAGCTCATCATTAGATATTTTGCTAAAGTGCAGACAACGCGGTGATGGTAAGCCGACCTCGATTGGGCTCCTGGCTTTGGTTCCATAGGCCATGAGGAAAGGAGTTTCTCTCGTAGGAGTTCTAGTGGTAGTTTGAATTACCTAAAGCACTTGAGGTAGCTCATCAACCCAAGCTCCCTTTGATGCATCCAATTTTCTTTTAAGGACATGTTTGATCGTCTTATTTACAGCTTTAACTTGGCCATTGGCTTGAGGATGATGAGGCGTTGAGAAGTTCTTCTTGATTCCAAGTTCGTCGCATTGGTTCCTAACCTTTTTTATTGTTGAACTGCCTTTCATTGTATGAAACTATGGAGTGGGGAATTTCGAACTAGTATATGATATTCTTCCAAAAGAACTTGGAGGTGTTTGCTTCTGTGATTTTTGTTAGCGGTTCGGCCTCAACCTACTTTGTGAAGTAGACAATGGCGACAATGGCAAAGTTCGCGCCTCTTCTGCCTTTAGGCACAGGACCTATTAGATCCATGTCCCCACTTGGAGAAGGGCCATGGGCTAGAGATGGTAATTAGCTCCTACGAGGGTTGCCTCTGAATGGAGGAGAACCGTTAGCACTTGTTACATTTGCGTACGAACTGAAGCGTATCCTTTTTCAAGGTGGGTCAGTCATACCCTTGCCTCAGTACCTTTTGTACCAAGGTTGGTCCTCCTGAATGATTGCCGCAAACACCTTCGTGGACTTTTCTTAGAATGTAAGTGGCCTCATCTCCCCCCATGCAACGAAGAAGTGGGGAGGATAAGCTTCTTTTGTAGAGTACATCATCAAGAAAGAGGAAATGAGCTGACCTCCTTCTCAGCTTGTAGGTCTCATCTTTGTCAGTAGGCAGGACTTGGTCTTTTAGGTAGGCTATGACTGGTTGCATCCAGGTAAGGGTTCCTTCGACCTACATCACCTCAGAGGCCTCGATAGACAGCGTGGGGAGGTGCTCAATTGGTACTATATCAAGTAACTCGGAGTCTCTACTACTCATGAGTTTAGAGAGAGCATCTGCATGTGCGTTCTCGAGGCAAGAGATCTACATTATTTCAAATTCTTCAAAAGATGGGAGGAGATTCATCAACATCTTCAAGTAGGAGGCCATGGTTTTATCTTTAGCTGAAAAACTGCCATTCACTTGGTTCACCACCAGCTGGGTGTCACTATTGATATATAGCCTCCTTACTTGCATTTCTTTAGCTAATCTAAGGCCCGTAAGGACCGCTTCATACTCAGCAGCATTGTTGGTGGCCTTAAATCCGAATCTCACGGCTGAGTTCAGCTTGTGACCTTCCGGGCTGAGAAGGACTATCCCAGCTCCCGAACTTGTGTCTCCAGCCGAACCATCCACAAATAAGTTCCACGTGGGGGGCTCAACAGGTTCCATAACCTCTTCCATCTCGGATACATTGGTGAACTCTGCTACAAAATCAGCTAAGGCTTGGCCCTTGATGGCTGCCCTTGTCTTAAAGACAATGTTAAATTCACTTAGCTCTATTACCAATTTCAGTAGTCTTTTCGAGGCATCCGACTTTTGTAGTACTTGCCTCAAAGGGAAATTGGTTAGAACGTGAATGGTGTGTGCTTGGAAGTAGGGCCTCCGCTTCCTAGAGGCTATGATCGAGTCTAAGGTTAGCTTCTCCATATCGGGATAGCGAGTTTCTGGAGATAGGAGTGCCTTGCTGGTGTAATATACGGGAAGTTGGGTGGTTCCTTCTTCTCAGGTTAGGACCGCACTAATGGCCTCATTGGAGATGGCCAGGTGTAGTTGAAGGATATCATCGGGCTTTGGTTTAGAGAGGAGGAGGGCCTGCCCTAGATGCCTTTTCAGGCCCTGGAAGGCTCTTCACATTCCTCATTCCATTCGAACTTCTTTCTGACTTTCAATACCTTGAAGAACGGGAAGTATTTATCGGTGGCCTTGGAGACAAAGCGGCTAAGGGTTGCCACTCATCCCGTTAGGCTTTGGACTTCCTTGGATTTTTGGGGTGATCTCATCTTGAGAAAGGCATTGATCTATTTAGGGTTGGCTTCGATTCCTCTTTGGTTGACCATGCATCCCAGGAACTTACCGAGGTAACGCCAAAAGCACATTTGAAGGGGTTAAGCTTCATCCTGTACCTCCTGAGCATTCGAAAAGTGTTATCCAAGTGCGTCATATGGTCGTCCACCTTCAGGCTTTTCACAAGCATATCGTCAACGTAGACTTCTATTGTCTTGCCGATGAGGTCTACAAACATTTTGTTGACAAGCCTTTTATAGGTGGCCCCGGTGTTTTTTAACCCAAAGGGTATCATCTTGTAGCAGTAAAGGCCTCTGTCAATGATAAAGGAGATGTTCTCCTCATCGGACGGGTACATGGGTATTCGGTTGTAGCCAGAGTAGGCATCCATGAAGCTCAGGAGCTCATACCCGGCTGTGGAGTCAACCAATTGAGCAATTCTTGAAAGTGGGAAGCTGTCTTGGGACATGCCTTGTTGAGATTGGTAAAGTCAATACATACCCTCCACTTATCATTGTGCTTCTTAACTAGCACCGGGTTGGAGACCCACTACAGGTAGATGGCCTCTCTAATGAAGCCATTCTCGATTAGCTTTTGCACTTCTTCCTTCAGAGCCTCATATCTTTCTAGGTTGAGGGCTCTTCTCTTCTGTTGGTGCGAGGCAACCTTAGGATCCATTTTTAGGTGGTGGCAGCTGACCTTGGGGTCTATGCCCACCATGTTCTCATGCCTCCAAGCAAAGACTCAAGGTTCTTGTAAAGAAAGTCTTTCAATCTTTCTTTTATGTCGTTGCTCAGGCCTACGCCCACTTTCAACACCGTCACGGGGTCGCAAGGCTTGACCAGGAAGCTTTCTAGTTCTTCAATCGGAGTTGCTTGGGGTTTGTACTGAATCACGCGGGGATCGATCTCATCGATCATGGAGAGTTCTTCCTGCTCGGGAGATGCGTCAATCATGTCAACATCCTCTCGTTCTGGAGGGGCCTCACTTGGGACGTCTATCATATCCATATCAGTCAGGATGTCATGTACGCTTGGGGCTGGACCTTTCTGATGGAGCTCAGGTAGTACTCTCTAGATCCTCTTTGGTCACCTCTCATTGCTATCACCCCGTTCTCAGTTGGAAGTCTTATGCAAAAGTGGTGGATGGAAGTGATGGCTCCCAACTCCTTCAGGGCTGGTCTACCCAAGACTCCGTGGTAGGCCGATCGACTGTCTACAATAAAGAATTCAATGAAGTTCATGGTGATTTGGGGGGACTCTCCCATCTCTACCGCCAATGTTATCTTTCCTCTCGAAGTGATACTATCTCCGGTAAATCCATATAGAGGAGTGGTTGTGGGCGTCAACTCATGGTCCAGGATCATATTGTTAAAGGTGGATCCGAACAGGATGTTAACAGAGCTATCATTGTCTACTAGCATTCGCTTGAGTCCATTTCAGGCCACAAAGACCCTTACCACAAGTTCATCACAATGGGGGTAGTGAACCCCTTCAGAGTCCTCTTGGGTGAAGATGATGGGCGGTACTTAGTTTCTTCAGGAGCTACTGTCCACGATATAACTGGTCAGTGGGAGGCATTTGGCCTCTTGGACGTAATTTCGTTTTGCGTTTCGAGTCTTTCCTACCATATAGGGGCTTCCAAAAATGGTGTCTATCTCGTGAATAGGGGCCTCCTCTCGTGTATGGCGGTTCCCGCGATGCATGTGTCCTTCTCTAGTTCTATCTATGCCATGTTCTCTTCGACGGGGGGAGATATCTCGCTGGCGGGGAGCGACCTCCTCACGCCTAGGTCACTGGTCATTCCTAGGCAGGGGCCTGTTTGCCTGTGGTGAATCATTCTTTCAGTCTTAGGGATTTTCCCGTTGGTTGTGGTATGCAAACTCTTGACGCTCAGACGTTTCATAACCGTAGGAGTAGTGGTACGTACAATAATCGGGGGGTTTTGATTAGGCCTATTCCTAGGTCTTGAACCACGCCCCCGGTCTCTTTCTCTATTGGGGGTCTGTTGTGAAGTTTCTGCTTGCGGGTCAATAGTTGTTAGATTGACATCTTCCTATGCCAAAGTTGGGACTGCGTTCAAAGTGGCAGTGGCAAGTGCTTGCCCTAAATTTCCATTACCAGGTGGGTTTATCTTATAGTCCATCAGGTGGGAGGTCGGTCCCCTGGCACGCTGTCTTTGTTGAGGTGGGAGGCCTCTACTGGTCCGATTTCGGAGCTCAATTAATTCTTCATTATAATCTCCCACCTCATCATTTCCAATAGGGCATCATAGGTGGTAGAATCTTGGTTTTACACGTCCCTCCAGAATAGGGTGTTCATATTCAGACCTCCTCTTAGGGCTGACAAAGCTTTACGATCGGTAACTTGCATGCAGTACGTCATTTCGTCGGTAAAACGTGATAAAAAACTTTTCAGGGATTCCCCATGTACCTAATGTCTTGAAGGCGCTGGATGGGGGCCTTTCCCTCCTTGCTCACCGCAAACTTCTTTAGGAAAGTGGTCTTGAATTCTAGCCAACTCCTTATGCTCCCAGGTGGTAGTCGATTATACCAGATTTCAGCTGCTCCACTAAGTGTCAAATGAAAAGCTCTACACTTCACAGCTGGGGTGCTGCCTCTAAGGCTCATATGAGTTTTACAAGTGCTTAGGTGTTTCTCCAGGTCGCCTCTCCCATCATACTTTGGTATTTTGGGCATCACATAGTGACTCGAAACCTGAGCATTTCTTAGTTCCCTTAAGAATGGCAGATTTTCATCGTCGTCGTCTAAGTCACAGGACCCGTGCTGCTCATCTGAGTCATTATTTTCCTCAGCTTCATACTTGGGTATTTGATGAGAGGGTCTAGCTTGGGTCTTAGCCTTCTCTTCCCTCCTTTGGCGCCTATTTCTAGGCGGAGCAACACGAAGGGCATTCTCATGCCTTTCCTCTGGCTGATGAGACATTGGAGGTGGGGCTGTGGTCTATTCCGAGGCTTGTGTTGTTGTTGTTGTTGTTGTTGTTGTTGTTGCTGTTGCCTGTGCCTCGGTTCTGCAGGGCTAATCCTGTTAAAGACGCTATTAGACCTCCTAGGTCTTTGTTTCGGCTCATATACTGGCGAAAAGTTGTCCTGGTTATGCCGAGCCTCAGTGGGTCGGCCAGCAGCATAATTGGAGGAGACATCAACTTCTACTTTTCTCTCCATGGGGCTCTTGCCTCGGCTGTATTCTATCAGTACATCCCTTTGGCTTTGAACTTCCTCATCTTGGTCATAATGTTCTTAAGGTGCATAGGGAGGAATGAGGAAGCCTCCCTGGCTCTGCATTTGGGCCATGAGGTCTTTCATGGCCATGTTTTGGCTAGCAATGTCCCTCATGTTGTGGCTATGGTGGCCATTTCCCTTGACAATTGAGGGGCTATCCGCATGCCACCTCTTCTGTGGTGGTGGCGAGGCCGATGCCAAGCTGCAAGGACAGCTGCCGATGGGACATTCCCACATTTTCTCTTACCCTCTTAGGGGGTTTATCCTCATTTGAACTCATTTTTTTCTGTTCCAAAACTCAGATTGTTGCTAAGTTGTGGGGCTTCCACTTCTTTTCCAAGAACAAATCATTTTTCAAAGGGGGATGCCCAAATATTCTTTTCGATAAGCTTCCTCCACACGGTTGCTCGTGGTTATAGTAAGGTTTCTCACAGACGATGTCAATCTGTTGACCACAAAAATGTTGCCAACAGATACTAGACCCACCCGCATACACGTGAGCCTGGTCCAACACGCTAAGACATTAGACGATCTAGAAATAATAGCAAAAGGGGGCGTGGGAGCGACTCAAATGCGCCGGACAAGAATGTTTGGAATCCGGCTAGATGTTTGCATAATGATTGTACAATAATTACCAATCGATG